TGGGCATCAGTTGTCAGTTGCCCCATCTGGTTTAGCTGGGGTCCAATGTTGCCCATGCTTTTCCTCCAGCTCCCCACATATCTAAAAAAGGACTTTTTATTGTCCTTGATATTTATAGCTAGCTGGAGTTCCAACGCAGCTTTGACTTTCCTGGTTTGCTCTCTGCAAGTCCAGACTAAAGCAGAGTATTCCTCCTTGGTGGAAGTTCCAGTCCTCCATCCTTTATAGGTCTTCCTTTTAAGATGCAGGAGGTCTGCCAGTTCCCTGAAGAGCCAAGGGGGCTGCTGTGCCCTTCTGCTGCCTTTCCTCCGAGACAGGATGGACTTTGCTTGCGCATCCAGGATTGCTCCCTTGAGGAGCAACCACTCGTTCTGAACTCCCTTCTCCACTGGGTTGTGGCCTTTTAGGGCCTCTCTGACAAGCCTCCTTAGCTTGTCAAAGTCAGCTTTCCTGAAGTCAAGGACTTTTGTACAACTGACTGACTTGCCAGCTTTACAGCAGATGGTGAAGGTGATCAGTTCACAATCACTACCACCCAGCTTCCCTTTGATTGTTAGGTTGCCAGTTAGGTCATCCCCAGTTGCCAGTACGAGGTCAAGCAGTGCTTTACCTCTTGTCAGCCCATAGACTTTCTGCGTCAGATAGAGGTCATCCACACGTGAGAGAAAGTTTTGCAACCACTCGGATTTGGCCGAGCGCTCCTCCCATGAGATATCTGGGTAGTTAAAGTCTCCCATGACAACCATACAACGGGATTGTGCAGCCTCAGCCAATTCCCTGGTGAACTCCTGGTCGAGGTCCTGACTCTGGGTAGGGGGTCTGTAGTAGACCCCCACCATAGTATCCCCTGTGCCGTGTTCCCCACGGATTTTAACCCAGAGGGTCTCAAGTCGTCCACCATGGGTGCCAATGTCAGCTTGCAAGGACACATAGCTTTTCTTGACATAGAGAGCTACACCCCCACCCCTTTTGTCCACTCGATCCCTCCTGTACAGGGTATAGCCGTCTTACCCGTGGTCCAGTAATGGGCGGAGTCCCACCAGGTCTCTGTTATCCCAATGACATCGTAGTTATTTGCATTTAGGAGGAGAACAAGTTCTTCCTGTTTATTCCCCAGGCTCCTGGCATTTGTGTATAGAGTAAGCCTCTTCCCAATGTTGGGCCTGGGCCCACTCCTCCACCACCCCCGCATCATCCCTGAGCCCACTCCTCCCATCTTCCTGCCGCCATCATGTTGGCCTGGGCCTGCTGCAGCGGCTAGGCTTCTCCCCACCCTCAGGCCTGGTCCTCCCCTCCCCCCGCCACTGTGCTGGGGAGAGGAGGAGTGGTCCCGGTCCCCAAGCAGCGGGAGGGAAGTGGGGAGTGGGCCCAGGGGTGGGAGGCATGGGGCTCCATCCCCACCCCCATCATTCTTGATGGGCAATTGGCTAGTAACTCTATGACTGTGCAAGGACTTCCCATTCTTCCTGCAAGTTACCAGAGCAACACTGATAGAGTCAAATTTGGGCAGTAAACCCTGACTAAGATTCAGGGGTCCCTGGCTTTGCCCATGACCCAGCAAATAGATGCAGCTGGTAAGTTCTATGCCTGGGTTTTCACTGCTAAGTGACTATTATGGAAAATAGCTGATATAGGTAAGTGTACCACCATCAAGGACTACACAGGAAATCTGAATGACACTTCCTTTTATTGATGTTGAATATACTATATCAATACTGAAGCTGAGGTACTTATCCTGTTATGCTGAAGTGCTCTTCACCAAGAGACCACATTACCATATTATGGCTACTTTGTGTTAGTCTTTGCTTCTCAACTTTATCCTAAGCCAACACATACAAGAGCTGCAAAACATGGTCCAAGTATCACTTCTGAAGAACAAACAGACTACTCTTACTTTCTGGCATTAAAACTGCACTTTTCAACTAAGGTTCTCAGAGCACTTGACAAAGAATGTTACCCATCCACATTTTGCTGATAGGCAAACTGTGGGACTCTGAGGTTCAGTAATCTTCCCTCCACCCCCTGCTGCCAAGGCACGCAGCAAATCAATCAGAATGTGAATTAAAATCCAGGTGTCCTGCATTTAAGTTCCATAACCTAATCATTAGCTTACATTACCACATATGTGTTTTTCCTGCTATGTTTAACTACAAAACAGCAGTTTTCATCACACCCATCCAGCAATGTGCCTGAACTCTTGCCCTGAAGCATCCACCTTTAGGAAAGGGGAGTTCAGACTCCATGGTCCTTGGCCTCTGCTAGTAATGTCAACAAGAGGATGAGAAGTGGACTGAAACCACCAATTCATTTCACACAATCATTGAATAGAGGTCAAAGTATAATGACTTTCTGTTACTACTGACCCAAGGCCAGATTAAAACCAACCAAGAGGTGAAAGGTTTTGTATCCCATTCCTAACCTCCTGAGTTATTCAGTCCCAATGATTTTATGACTTCTGAGCTCCCAAAACAGCACCACAGTATAAAGTCCACCTAAAAACTATTTATGTAAATAGGTAAATGTTGCCAATGGCATCTCAAAAGAACAATAGGTCAGTTCAGTGCAGAAGTGTTAACTGGCTTAGTGACATGGTAAATTATAGTCTCTAAAGATGGCAAAATTTAGAGAAAAAGTAGTAAAACACCAGTTAGCACTTACTGTTCCTCTAAAAGTGCATATTACAGTGTCAACCTGTATAAAGCTGGAAATTCTTTACGAGCTGGATTTCAAATCAAAGTAGCTCTTTTTTCAATTTCCTTTGAAATACCATGAATGTAATATAGCTCAGAGCTAGGTTAGGTGAAAAAGAAGTCCCAAAAATGTGAGTAACCCATTAGCACTCACCAGGCCTTGTTGCAGCTCTGACCATATTCAGATGCCAGGATCCTGAATGGAGCTGCGTGGAATTCACTGGTTGCAGACAGTTCAGCAAATTCTTTTCCCTGCCTTGGTTCCATGAGGCATTATTCATTTATACCCATTAATATCTTTGAAATCAGGGCAGAATCAGGAACAGGTATTGCTGAATATGTACTAAATGCAATTTACCTGTAAGCACATAGCCATGGACTAATGATGTTCAGTGATGTATTAGAAAGTATGACTAAAACTAATAGTAACAGGTGATTTTTGCTGCATAAAGAGAACTTTACAGTCAATATTCTAAGATGTGAGGTATTACTGCTAAGATATTTATGTTGCTAGCAGTACCAAACAAGAAATAGAATCCACTGTGTTAGGTGCTGTATTGACACCAGGTGAATGTCCTGCTCACAGTCCAAGTTATATAGAGCCACAACAGAGAGCTCAAACTACATAACTGGAGAGGAAAAGAAAGGCAAGGTAACAGTAAAAGGAAAAAGTTGTTATCTGAAACAAATTGCCAGAGGTTTCAGTTCACAACTTCTAATTCTGATGCCTTTGAATATAGTAGCTTCATAGTTTCTAGGGTCGGAAGGGACCTGAGAAGATCATCTAGTCCAACCCCCTGCCATGGCAGGAAAGAGTACTGGGGTCAAACGACCCCAGCAAGGTGTTCATCTAACCTCCTCTTAAAAACCCCCAGGGTAGGAGCCTGCACCACTTCTCTTGGAAGTTGGTTCCAGACCCTAGCCGCCCTGACCATGAAATAGCGCCTCCTGATGTCCAACCTAAACCTACCCTCTGTCAGCTTGTGACCATTATTCCTGGTCACTCCTGGCGGTGCTCGGGGGAACAGTGACTCCCCCAATGCCTGCTGATCCCCCCTGACTAGTTTATAACAGGCCACAAGATCCCCCCTCAGCCTTCTCTTTTGGAGGCTGAACAGGTTCAGGTCCCGTAGCCTCTCCTCATAGGGC